TTAAAATCAAAGCTTTACTCCGAGAGGATCCTACTTTCAGTGAAACTGGAGCTGTTCATAGGCACAAAGTACAACTCAGAGCAAAATGGCAAGATCATCACAGCATTTCCTCCCCTTATGGAAGACACATGTTCCAGTCCTACTCAGGCAGACCCTTGCAGCATGGCTTGGTGCCCAAACCACTGGCTTACAGGATACTCTCGTGAAGCTCCTACACTGTTCATAAAAAATAGCATACTTATTGGAGTAGGGACATCCTCCATAAGGCAGGGCAGTGCTGTATACCATTAACCACTAACATCAGTGTCTCCAATCACCTGCCACGGGACCTCACTAAGTCAAGTCATTAATTCCAGCATTTCCAATAACAGCTAAAACAATTTTCATGAGGGAGAATTCACCAAGTTATTGTAGTAGTTCACTAAATTTACTGTCCTTTTATCATGGCTACATGTTTGACTACACTTTTGTTTGGATCTTTAACTTCAGGCAATGCTATCTATAAAAAAAGAGGTTCTTACTAACCCACTTAATGTGATCAAAATTATACTAGAAAAAAATCTGAGCCACTAACCAGATATCTTGATACATGGTATTTGTAATGTAAAAAATAGTAAGTTCTTAATCTTAAAAAAAGTGGCAACCTGACCCTATTATTTTAGTAAACTTTAAAAATTGCCCATTGTGAGTGCATTGTTTTCTTGGTGACTAATCCACACAATCATGCAATGCTCTGATTCATTCTCCTACACCATTTTCCATCACAGTACGTTTGGTGTAACAAGTTGATCCTATCAGATCCTATCAGCCAGGCTTTTGGGGAAGGGGATTGGGAGGTAGAGGTACCTATCTTCAGCAGTACCACCACGTGCTTCTTTGCATTGTTCTAGTGATAGGTTTCAGCTTGACCGCTGAGGAGACAGTGTTCAACCTCTAGATCAAATTAAAACCACTGGAGTTTGAAGTTATATGGTGATAGGAAGGTATGAAAGTATAAGGTAAAATAATTTACTCCAAGAGTCAGGTGGGCTGGGTCATACCAAGATAATCAGCAAACAGACTGGCATAAGATATTGAAGATACAGTAATGTATGTGAAGGCACAGAACATAGAAATGTGAATTTTTGTTGTTTAAAACGTGGTTTCTCAAAAAGCACAACAGACTGCAGACTGGAACAACATAGGACACCAAAAAAGAAGAGCAGCATGTGAAGAGCATAACAAAGAGAAGACAAAGGAGAGGGACAAGGAAGGAGCTACCACTGATGCACATGATAGTAAGGCAAAACTGAGCAGGGACACAAAAGTAGGTAGTCTATCACTGAAGGTACATGTCCTCTGGCTGAATTAGTCCTTGCTAATAGTTACGTGGTGGTCCTACTACCAGTCTGCTCACCTCTGTCCCTCCTTCTGATTCTAGGACTCACCAGAACTCTCCACTACTTGAACATTAGGCAAAGAGTGAGATAAGCATGGATGGGGATACAGCAATACTGTTAGATTTATTCCAATCTCTCTTCTAGTGAACTGCCCATCTAAGCATGGCTTAGGCATAGATGCAAGAGCAGAAAAACAGTCATTAGCACCTTCCCTCATGGGAAGAATAAGAGATAAAGAAGACATGTCAAGGATGAAAGAGCTAACGAAATCCAGCTCTCTATCCAGACCTTTATTAACTCCCTCAGCAGCAAACAAGCCATCTTCTAGGCTTTAGCTGAAACTAGCTTATGTTTTGCTACCCTTTAACAATTCCAAGCTAGCTCCTGTCCCTTGACACTGTATCTAAAAATTCGCACTCCAAACAACAATTGCTGTAATAATAACAATACTTACATGTCATTATTTAACCTCATGCTATTCGTTCATGAGGATTAGTGCTTAATTAATTAACAACACTTAGCATTTCCACTCAGCACTTTACCTCTTCAAAGCATTGTACAGACAATATCTAATTAAGGGCAGAGCTCCACAGATGCTTCACATCAGGACTTCCCTTTGGCAGCTCTTGCATCCAAGACTTGCTCACATGGTGTAGCATGAGTTCAAGTTGTAAGCCCTATTGACTTCATCAGGAATCAGGTAATGCCCTGGCTATCAAGTGACTATCTTTGCAAATTCCTTTTCTTTTCCTGTTGCTTCTGGTTGCTTACTGTTCACCCAGGGATCTAATTATTGGCTAATGTGAGGGGTGATAGTGCGAGCCTTGTATTAGTGTTATCTACAAAACCTTCATTCTTCCGTTAGTGAAAAACCTTATTCTCAGTCACCTGGTTGAACTGCCTTTGGATAGAAAATGTGTTAACCACAAAAACAGATTATAAAATTTCAAGCCAGAGTTTTTAAGGGAGATGGTGCTTTCAATCCATCAGTCAAATGCCTGCTATGAAAGTGCCTTTCTTGTAAGCACCCCAGGGTGCTACACAACATCAATAGACCATACAAACATAGAGCTTTTATGGTTCACTTTACAATTGGACATTGACTCTGAACCTGTGAAACAGAAAGGAATTGAATTTCATGACCAAAGAGGATAACGTGCACAGGATTAAGTAGACAACGCTGGTAGAAGCAGGAAAGCAATACAGCATTGGATGCTGATAGAGAGATTAAATTTACAAATAAGAAGCCAAAGGAATAAACCAATTCTGAGTGAACTCTCATAAACCAGCAGTAGCACTCAACGCTTCATATCAATCCACTATTTTTTTCAGAGAATTAAACATTCTGATGGGCTTATTCAAAGCCCACTGATTGACCAAGCCCTGACTATGGGAACTGAACAAAGAGAGCCCTAAACATGTAATAGCTCCAACCAAGAGAATTATCCAGACAGTATGGAAAGAAATTTCTGCAGGCGTCAAACTGGAAGAAAAAGAAAACACTCATCACAGTTTAAGAACTTGTCTAATGTCTCAGAGGATGTCTTCACAGGGCAGCAGCTGGCAGTGCAGCAGCCTGCTCAAATCGGCTCCAGAAGAAAGCAAGTGATCCAATACAGCAATCTTTCAGCTCCGAGTGGTGCTGTGGTGTGTCACGTGCACATCACAGCTCACATCAGCTAGGTCAGATAGCTTTCTCAGGAAGGCCCTCTTGCCAGATGAACCACAGCTTGGTAGATATTAGAAATTTAAATGGCTTGCTTCTTTGAAAACTGACTGTCTTGAACAGAATCTGACCTAACCATTTTGGCACTGAATTCTCCCACAAGCATAACTGTGTACTGCTAACTGCAGTGTCTTTGTGCCCAAAATATAATGTTTTAGTGTTACTGCTAACTTCTGAAATCCCAGGAGTTTAAAATAAAAACCAGGCCTTATTATCCCTTAATATAATTTCATTTAAGCTGCAGATGGATGAGACTTTTATTGCCATATTTGACCTCAAGCTGAGGGTCAGATACTCATCCTAGACTTTTCTGGACATGTATGTTTGGAATTCAGTACCTGCCTTTCATCTTCTGCCCAGTTCCCACAAATTCTTTTCCCCTTACTCAGCTTCAACTACAACCCTCCAGTATTCCCTCACCACCAGTCACCACTGTCCAGGACTCACTTATCTCTGACACCAAACAGCCTAGCCAGCCCCAACCAGTTAACACCTAAGTTCTCCATCACTTGGTTATCCTGCAGCCCTTTCTAACGTTTACCACCTAGGACCCATTCCAGCTTGCCCACGACCACTCCCAGGACCACTTCTCCATTGGTTAAGGCTGGGTCCACTGATGTGTGTGATTACATGTGAATTAGGTAAATCATGCACCTGTCTTATAGTGAGTTTCCTAAAATGTAATATTCAAGGTAAAACTGTCAGCTGTGGTCACTGTTGATCAGGAAAAGATACTTGTTAATTAGCATGCACATGAGATCAGGCCATTAACAAATGCGAAGCCACTATGGAAGCTGATTCAAGTTACTACCTAGATAACTGTGCTTCTGTTTCCAGCACAGGGCTGTCACATGAGCCCTTCTGATCACTTTGGTATTTACATTTGCTGTGCATCTGTCCTAGCATCTCCAAGCCCTGATGCCTTGGAAGAACACACGCTGAGATACTTCCTGACTGGGGTCAGCTTCCAGTACTGGAACTCTGTCGGGTGCAGCTCAAGATGTGAACCAAATGTAGGCATAAAAACATGGTTAAGACAAAAGCCTGGCATTTGGAAAGCAGTTCTCTACTTTGGTGTATGACAAAAATAACTGTTTAGATGACTTGTATAATTAAGGTTTTACCTCTCACTCTCCTGTTTTACTCAGCCTATACAATGAAACAAGTTGGTCTGTTTAATCTGTCCCACAGTTTTCACTCATTCTATCATCACCCTATGTTCTATGGGGTGTTGGGGTTTCAAAGCTTCACAGGACTGTGTATTCCTTTCTGCCATTCATAGTGCTCTCTCTGTAAGGGGTCATGGGGACACATCCATAGAATAGTCAGGAACAGATCCATGGTGGTCATGAATGTAAGTTCCAGCATGTATTTCCTCCCTGCTTCCAGCCATCAGTGTCTAATGTCATTGGGACAATTTATACTTTTTGGCTATCACAGCCTGCTACAGCAATGAATTTCACAAGTGATATTGATGATTGCATTAAGTCGTACATGTGCTTACCCTGCCGCTTCATCAGAAGAAAGCGTTCCTGCTGCTGTACCACCATGGTGCACAGTATTAGCCTCGCAATTTAGCCTGCACAAAGAGTGCTGGATGGATTGTTTGATGACTTGCAGTACAAGACATCTCCTTGCCTAGTGAAATTGCTCAGCACTAGGGTTAATACCGAAGTGCAGGCCAGCTGAGGCTACCTTTAAAGGACAAGGTACACTTCAGGGCGATTATGATTGACACACTATGTATATATTTTACTTATAATTTTATTACTATGCCTATTCTAAGCACAGCTTTTCAATTAATTGATTCTTAGGACCTGATATAGACAATATTTCAATATTTTTGAACGGCATTTTCACAAGTAGCATTACCCATCCCAGCTCGGACTTCTCACCTTTGTGGTCCACAACTTGACTGTCCAGTCAAATGATGATGTGACAAAGAGATGGGAAAAGTCAATTGGACCCACTGCCATGTGACAGTTGATTCCTGTGACGGGTCCTTGGTGGCCTTCAAAAATTTCACCAATGCCAGCTTTACTGTAGAAAGAAGAGACATTTGCATTCAGAGAGTGATTTAACGTCTGGTGATTTAACATCATTTTTATTTACTCTTAGGTTCCTGGTTCCTTTTAAAGCTCCATTTAATCTGTAAATCTCTCTCTTTTCAGTAAGGCCTTTGCCTGCAGAGGTGTACTGCTGTGGGTACAATCAATGCTCAGGATCCAGCATAGAGACTTTCTCTTACTTCTGAAGACTTGCCTTACCCTTACTTTTACATACACCGTCTACTACTGTAGCTTGAAATAACATTTATGTATAATTATAAAATAATTCCAAATTATAATCATACTATAGCTTATGCCTCTGAGTAAGCCATTATCACAAGCAATAACCCTGAAAATAAAAATGCAAATATGTTAATGACTTATCATGAGCAATTCTTTTCCTCTTAAATATCTAAAATAACTTTCCACAGCAGTCAGTCAAGTCACTAGGAAGCAAATTGTTTTTCACAAAAAGTGAAGGAACTGCTCCTGTGACCAGGTATCATCAGTCATTACTCTGAACAAGGGGAGATGTGCATTTCATCGGCTTGAGGCTAGAATAGCTATTAGGAAGGAAAAATACAACACTATGTAAGAGAGAATGTGCGCAGTTTTCTTTTTCCAGGAAGCAAATGACGCCCGATCAGTTGTCAGAGCTGTCTCACCGTGTATACAGAAAGGCGAATCATGAAATTACCCTTTTAGTTACATTATAGAAAAATCGCCGGTGGAATAAAATACATTAACAATAGCCACAGCTCTGACGTGGCTACCAGCCCTGTGCCAGTGTAAGTACAGTGTACCCAAAAAGATGAGGAGCTGCACTGGAGGAAATTGTTCCCTCATATTGCTAGCGTGGTGTTCTCTCCCCTCTCATGTTGACCATGACTGTGTGACTTCACTTAGGCTCCCCTGCCAGCCCTCATAGCGTGTGCTGGAGCAGGGGCCGAGTTCTGCAGTCCCACTGCAGTGCTGGGTACCAAGCGTACCTCTGATTTTATCCCCATCTGTCTGCCGTGTAGTTGGCAGGATAAGGGGAGTTCTGAAGCACTGAGAACACCTTGAGTATCTGCTGTGCTTCGACACACCTTTTTCCATAACATATGACTCTTCACTGTGCTGGGCTGAAGGACACAGGATCCTCTGGAAATAAAACACGGATGATAGGAAAAAGCTCTAGGAAAGACAGGCAGGAGCAGAAAGGAGCATGTTTGTCAATGATCAGCAGGTTTGCTAAAAAGATGAGCTAACAAGAGGATCTGACACCTTCCTCCTGTTGTAAGGAACCAACCAGGCATGTCTGAAAGACCAGAAGTGAGAAACGCCCTTGGGTGTGCTTCATTTATCTGTGCAGCCTAAGACTGCTTCAAACCATCAGTCGCCACGCAGCCTATCAGCGTAATGTCTAAACAGATACGATTTTGCAATACTGTCAGTGGTCAGGCTAAAATAAAAATATTTTAAAATAAAAATGACATTGAATAACATATATGTAAAACAGTGTTTATACAACGTTAGGAATGTGCAATAGAAGCCTTACAATCTTAAACCAGTGTATTGATGTCTATTTGGTCAACAGAAACAATAAAATTAGAAAAAAAAAAAAGAGTTCAGATAATATTGCCAACTATTGAAGTGTGGAGGTGAGCTTTAAATCAATCAGTGAAAAAGTCTGTTCTTTACAGAAGCCACTCAAGCATCCTAGAGGAGGAAACTGCTACCAGAAGCTAACAGAGCACACCAGCATCCTGCAGATTTACAGGGGGCAAAATAAGGAACTTGCAGTATTAAACCACAGTCTGGATGGGGCAAGGAGAGGATGTGACCACTGTGTGTGAGGGAGCACAGGGTGCCCGTCCTGGGAGCGGGTCAGCCAGAGCTCGCGTACCCACCTGGCACACTACAGCTATATCCATGTTAGCAGATAAACCAGGTGGCAAGCCCAGACTGAGGCCAAACACATGGCTCCTGGCTGTACAACAAAATCCTCTTGCCCTCTTGGAGAGGGTGAGCTTGGCCAAACTGCCCACCAAGAGCAGGGGCTAGCAGCAGGGCTTGGTCTCTAGCCTGGCTGTGGTGCTGCCTGGGAACACTGCGCCGGATGGCTGTGCGTCAGGATGTGCGCGCTCTGCTTCTCACACACACATGTGCCCATGGTGGCTTTTCTCTGATACATGCCTGTGGAGACTGAAGATGGAGCTGAGGATGGTAAAAAATAAAGCGGATTACCATCTCTTCTGAGTGGTTTAGGCCTGATTACTCTGCAACAAAACTGCCTCCTGGGGCCTGATTTGACCTGCCCAGATACAGACGCCTACATCTCAGCTAGCTGTCTAGATGTCCCATGAGAAAAAGGCATTTCTGAGGTGCCAGTCATCTCTTCTTCAAGCAGATGTCTGAAAAAGGTGAGGGAAATCAAACCTTAACAGCAGTCATTGCTCTCCACTGACTATGTGGGGAGCCTGGGGCAACCACTCTGGTACAAAGGGCAGCAGCACAGATGCCCAAAGTCAGGAGACTCCTGTCCTCGTGTGAAGCAGAACAGCGCAGACACTGTTGATCCAAGAGAAAAAAAAGAAACACTCGCCACGCACACTTGGCTACCTCACATCAACACAGGTACACAATGTTATTTAAGTACAAAATGCTGAACATCACCTTCCATGACGACAGGCTGTGTAGACTGTTCCCTCTTCACTGCCAACGACAAAGTTATTGACATCTCCGGTTGGGAAAGCCATTCCTGTAACCGCCACTGCTTTGGACTTATTGTACACCAGCTCCATGCTCTCCTACCAAAATAGGTCTTCGTTATTATTCTGCGGTCATCCTTTTGTTTGGCTGGGATTTTATTTTTTTTTTTTAATTCATATCTAAAAGTTACACAGGGTAGCAGGAGGGGAAGAAGAAATCATTTGACTAAGCCACAGCACTTTTTCTACACAGGACGTTGCGAGAAGATGCAATGTCACAAACTAGGATGCACTGCTCCTGCCATCCCCACCGCTGTCTGTCACACGTTTGAGAGTGGCTGGAAGACACTGGTCTTTGCTACGTCATCTCAAATCAGGCAGAGATGACACGTGAGAATTTAAAATCAAATGGTGCAGAAGCTAAAGATAATACCTTAATGGTTACACTTGCCAGCCTCAGGCTCTAATAAAACACACAATACCCTTTTATTTACGAACATTTTTGAAATCAATTGTTTGTCAGGAAACGTGTAATATCTTATGCACCTGAGCCATTTATCAGACTGTATCATTTTTCCCTTTGCAGAACAAAACTAAAAAGTTGGGGTCCTGTCACTACCACCATTCTAAGCATTGCTTTTCAGGGATTTTCTGAGGTAACCATAAACTCTCCCTCTAGATTCCACCATCAAGCTGCAAACCAGCAAGCATATTTTCTTTTTCTATTTTGGTAGCTATTCAAAGTAAATCAGCATGCTCATTTTTGCTATTGCAAGTACAACCAGCATGAACAGTTTGTGGCCATAGCAAGACGCATACGCTTTGAGCAGATTTTGCACAACTCTAAACTTTTTGGTTGTGCAGCCTGAATGGTGTAACCCAAGAATCCCCAAAGGGGCTGAATGATTTAGCAATTTTCATTTTTACCTATTTGAGTGGGTATGTTTTCTATGTTTAAAATGCCCAAGCTACTATTCTTCTAGTGCTGAAGCCTGTAGTGTTCTTCTCAGAAGGGATTTTTCTGTAGCTAAAGAAAGTGGGTGTCCTTGTGAGAGGAGAGGACTGCAAATCCATAGAGAAATACTTCTGCTTGATTTTCACTTTTCTTTGAAATACATTTGGTTCTATTAAAAAGGCAAAACAAGACCTGGAAAATGCATTGGCAGAGCACCTGTGGACCATATATTTCTGTGAAAATCTTCTCTTCACTGGGGTGAGATCATTATTTAGTGTCTCTGTGGAGACACGGCCAGATACTGTGGTGGACTTTCTCCTCCCAGTGCCTACACCATGGCTGTACTTGAGTGCTCTGGTTGTGTGGCTTTGGAGAGTTTCAGACTGACACACATCAGCAACACTCTACTCCTCCCAGCTTAAAGCTATGGCATGTAGCTTGACATCAAGTCCTGTGCCTTTCTTTTCTAGATCACCATGAGCCATGTGCCAAACTTCAGCATAATGTGGGGTGTGTTCCCCTTCTTGTTGAAAGGCAGTTTTGGAGCGGGAAAATTCCATCTGAGTGATGAAGTACTGGAACAGAGATGTTCACAAATCACTGCTTCAGAATTTAGTATTCCAGTAAGTGAATACATAAGGGTGGGATTTATCTTTTTGATGTTTAAATGGGAAACTGGGGAAGGGATTCAGATGCCTGAACATAGGTGTCGTTTTAGATGCCTCCACGTCTATTCCAGAAGAGTATTGGTTTCTCATAGTCCTAGGACAAATCTACCAGATCCATACTCTTGTCTCAGATGAGCATGAGCAACATGATCCAGCTTGGAAGTTGGCCTCACTCTGACTGGAGGATTAGACGAGATGACTTCCAGAAGCCCCTATCCTAAGCTCTATCCTAAGATTTCACAGTTCTATACCCTAGGGTATCTGAAATGGTATATCACACTGGATGGGATATTAACTTCAAAGGGAACTCAAATGACTAGCTTAGACTTGACACGGACCTAACTTTTAGATGGCTAAGGTTAGGATAGAGGAGTCCCACCTCTTGTATCAACAATGAAAGGCAAATAGATTCATAGATTCATAGATTCATAGATTCATAGATTTCTAGGTTGGAAAAGACCTTAGAGATCATCGAATAATTCAATAGTAATTGCATATTAATACATGATTAATGGAATCATTAAGAGGAGTTTCCATGCAGCATTTTGAAACATGATCAGATCCCATGATGTTTAGCAAAAACGATACTGAAGTATTTTTTTCTAAGAGATTATGTATAAAAAATGAGTGATGTGTCAGAACAGAAAATGTACTACTCCAGAAGATAACACTTAAAAGATGCTTTCCATAGACCTTTTTTCAGCATCAGCTTCTTTGTTTAGTTTCCATTATTATAATCACTAGTGGTTTGGACAATTTTCCTGGATTTCCTTTCTCTTCTTATACAAAGGAGAGGAGGCGGGGGGGGAAGACAATAGTTGCAAACATTCCAGAGGGGGGAAATTAGTTCTAAAACTTTTGATTTGCATTGTTTGTTCCTTTGGCTACTGAAGGCAGGCAGCAAAATCAGCTTTGTGACTGTGTGCCTTGGAAACCCGTAGTGCCGAGGGTGTGTTCGGCAGCAGTGCCATCTAGTCTGTGTTTGTTAAACAATGCTGTAGAGTAAGTACAATTCATACCACAGGCGACTTCTGTAATTACCGTGCTTTAAAATGGATTATTTCATTTTCACTTGAAACTGACCTATGTATTAACGTATTACAATAATTACATGATTTGTGGTAAAGGAAATGGGTTTTGGCTCTTAGCGGAGACTGCTGGAAGCAAGCTGTACTCTTTCAAGTGCATCCATCGGTTTTAGTTTGTATAGGACGTGAGGTTTTGGCTTTTAGGAACTATGTTCCATTAAGCAAGTATCCTGCTCTACCGAAGGTGCTTTTTTTCCCCTGTATAGGTGAAAACAAACCCACCTGTGGAGTTGAGAGCATGTCCAGGCTCCAGGAGCACATTTTGCCATCCGTAGAGACGGTAATGAGATTGTGTGCATTCTGTGTTCCAACTACATTCACACAATACACAGGATGCTGAAAACACATTAACACTGGAAATCAGAGAGCCGTTCTCGCGTCTTCATGAACAAATTTCTACTGTCTCATATGTTATTTTAAAGAATGATTAAGTAGTCACATAATGCCTGGAAAATACAGGACCTAGCTTTTGCCAGACAGAAATTATTTGGGGTTTTTATTTTAAATTTTAAGAGGTAGGTTATGGAGGTGGAAATGTTTTCAAAGTTTCATTTTCCTCATAATAAAACAACCCAGCTGAGTAATGCTGTGAAAATACTGAATTATGTGGATGAGATTTCACCCACAGGGACATGTATCATTCTACTGATGGCTTTTGACACCGAAAATAACCAGCAGAAAGAGGCAAATGGTCCAAATGGAATCAAAATGAAAACTTTATTCAAGAAAACAGCTGCATAAAGTTTGAACTTTCCCGGAATTTGGCTTGCATGCTAAATATGTGCAAATGCAAATGCACTGCAGTAGAAAAACATGAACAAGCACTGGTCAATATACCTTTTCAGATCTGTCATTATAAATGTGGAGTGTCTAAATATAGGGTTTTACACCTGGTTCACCATAGTATAGTCATTCCATGAAGGTTGAATTCCACTTAATATGCATTAATGAAACTTGGCCTATTCCTTTTCCAAGGAACCCGGCAACATCTTGAGCCTGAAGTGTCATCTGATATTTGATGGTGACGTATGAGAGATGGTTCACCTTCAGCAATCTCCAGAGTGAAAAATCAGTCAGACCAAACAACAAGATTTAATTTCCTTTGACCAGTACAAGTGATACCACTGAATTAAGGGTAAGACATACACACAAGTCAAGCAAAGAAAAACTATTTCTCTGCTTCTTTTGCCAATGAATAGAAGACCTGTGTCTCCAGGAAGAAAAAATACTTTTCACTAATACTTTCCTTATTTAAAGAAAATTAGGACCAACTTACAAGAGATCCCTGTAGAGCTCCTAAGCCAACTCCATGTAGGGTTAGAAACCTAGCATTTTGTTCCTGCTG